GGGTTTAGGGTTTAGGGTTTAGGTTTGCGGCCTAAGGTTTAGGGTCTGGTCCTCTCAAACCCAACAAGAGAGAAAAGGAAAGTCTCCCTTAAGGGCCCACACCAGGGGGCTGGTCGAACGATGAGCCGCTGAACATTCCCTCCATGGTCGTCACGCTTGAGGTGTCCCACAAATTCAAGGGTTGGTTGAAGCTGCTGATAGTCGACGCAGCAAACATCAGCTTCATGTTGGTAACTTTTGACACGTCCCAGGACTCGATGGACTGGTTGAAGGCGAGAGCCGTGGCGAACATGCTGTTCATGTCTGTTACACTGCCCTGGGGTGGCCAATGGAACCCTCTGACACATATTCTTGAACAAGGTCCCCCAAGGAGCCCAATACCCCTTAATTAAGGAAAGTACCTCAAAGCATATAGGGGCTTAGTATGATGTAAGGTATATTCCGCAATTACTAAACTCCCCTTAGAACCTTCAGAATAAATATGTTTAATATCCTCTTGGGTTTTATATGAACAAAATACAAAATAATTCCCAAGGGGAATATAGATTAAGGGGTGTTGGTCTCTTCGGTTCCCTTTCAACCCACACATGCCGGCGGAGACCCCAAACAGTGTAAGACCACCTTTGAAGTAGTCCAAAGGCCCCCTGGGAACATTCCAGGAGCTTGCCATAAGAGCAAGAGAAGACCCTAAACCCTAAAGGTTTAGGGATTAGTAGGGTTTAGTAGGGTGTAGTAGGGTTTAGTAGGGTTTAGTAGGGTTTAGTAGGGTTTAGTAGGGGTTAGTAGGGTTAGTAGGGTTTAGTAGGGTTTAGTAAGTAGGGTTTAGTAAGTAGGGTTTAGTAGGGTTTAGTAGGGTTTAGGGTTTTGGGGGTTGGGGTTTTGGGGGTTTGGGCTTTAGGGTTTAGGGTTTAGCGTTTAGGGTTTAGGGTTTGGGGCCCAAAACCCGAAACGCTAAACCCTAAACCCTTAGGAACCCTCCCAAAGGGCTTACTTGGAGGTTCACGGTACTTACGAACCACTTATAACTGGGCTTATAACCCTACTTATTAGTGGGATATCCCCTCTAAGGCCCTTTAGGGGTATTATAAGTAGGGTTATAAGTATAGTTATTGGTTAGTAAGTACCATGAACCTCCAAGTATGGGTTTGCCAAGGCCAAGTGACATGTCAAGTGCGCTCCTGGGACCTAGAAGCGACAGCAGTTGGCTGCTTCTAGGATTTAGGGTTTAGGGTTTATGGTTTAGGGCTTAGGGCTTAGGGCTTAGGGTTTAGGGTTTAGGGTTTAGGGTTTAGGGTTTAGGGTTTAGGGTTTAGGGTTTAGGGTTTAGGGTTTAGGGTTTAGGGATTCACCTAGAGCCACGCGGGCACGCGCAAAAACCTCGAGGGTCATCCCTCGCAGCTTGAGCTGCGCAGTGTTCTTGCACAGGAGACAACGAGCAGACCGAACACAAGCCCCCTACTTGGAGGTTCATGGGACTTAATAACCACTTATAACTGGGCTTATAACCCTACTTATAATGGGGATAACCCGATAAGGCCCGTTAGACGTATTATAAGTAGGGTTATAAGTACAGTTAGAATTGGTTAGTAAGTCCCCCCCCCCCCCCCCCCCCCCCAGCGTGAGAACCCCAAAGTGCCCTCGCACTGATGGGGGGGAACTAGGGAAGTCAACAAAGTCCCATTGAGCTTCCCAGTTGCCGTATCCCAGGAGCCGATGAACTGGTTGAAGACCTTGGCGTCACTAAACCTTGGTTGCTGAGTGCATAAAGCCCCCCCCAAAAAAAGTCTAGAGGGGGATCATCACATCCCAAAAAAAGGTGTAGTAAAGTGCTGCTCACTCAGCTACTAAGGAACATGCCTCGCATGTTGGTCACCTTCGACGTGTCCCAGGAGTCGAGGGGCTGATTGAATGCATGGGCTATGGTGAACATGCCGTTCATCTTCGTCACCTGGGAGGTATTCCAAGAGTCGAGGGGCTGGTTAAAGGACGTTGCGCTTGCGAACATCCCTGTCATGTCTGTCACGCTGGAGGTGTCCCAGGCTCCGATGGGAGAGTTGAAGGACGAGGCAAGCTGGAACATCAGCCGCATGCTCGTGACTTGCGACGTGTCCCAGGCCGAGATGTTCTCGTCGATGTTTGTGAGAGCAAAGAATAGCAAGCCTTAGTTGTCCAGTAACCTGGGGAATTAAAGCTTAACCTTTGGGATTATGATGGGATTATACTACCCCAAAAAAAGGTTAAAGGTTACCTACTCTACTACCAGGAAGCTCATGTCGGTCACCTGAGACACGTTCCAATCGCCGATCTCGCCATACTGCGCCACGAGGGCGGCGTTGCCTGCACCCGAAGGGTTTTAGGGAGACGAGGCATGCTTGTAGGTTCTCTTGGGGTAGTTAGAAGTGGGGTTTTTAAGTACCCTAAACCGGGGTTGCAAGTACAGCGACCATAATTCTAACCCTACAGGTGATAAAATACCCACATGGGGGTTTGCGACAATGAGGGGCCCCAATAATCGACCCCAAATAGAATATTCCCCTTATAATGAGGTCCCCAATAGGGTACCCCAAATATCGTAAACCCCAATAACAATCCCTAAACCCTAACCCTAAACCCTAAACCCCATACCCTAAACCCTAATGAACCTCCAATTAACCTGGCAGCTCTCCGTCTCGAGGCCAGGAGAGGGTTTGGGGCTTTAGGGTTTAGGGTTTCTTGGGGTTTAGGGTTTAGGGTTTAGGGTTTAGGGTTTAGGGTTTAGGGTTTAGGGTTTAGGGTTTAGGGTTTAGGGTGTAGGGTTTAGTTTGGGGTCTAGGGTTTGGGCTTCATCCCCAGAAATCCGCAACCGCCAGCCTGGATCTGAGTTCCAGATCGTGAGTGCCGAGCGTAGCTCGGCGTTGCTGGTGAACGCGTCGGTTCCGCTGCCGGGGATTAACCGCAGCAAGAGCAACAGCCATGGCAAGTCCATGGCTATTAACCTCCGTCTCTCTCTGACTCTCTCCCCTGCGTCGCTCTGCGTCTTTTCGCCCGTGTCTCTGACTCTGTTCTCTCTCTGTCTCTCTCTCTTGACGACGGCTCTGGCCGGAAATGAGGTCCAAAGTCAGGGAACACACACACACACACACACACACACACACTTTAAAAAGTCGTTGTTATAAACTACTATTTGCTCAAGAAGCCCCAAAAAAACAAATCCCTCTATTGCCCTCATAAGGAAGAAGAATATTCATTGTTTTTTTGGAATTTTTTGAGCAATTGGCCTTCATCCACCTCTGAGCTCTGCATGTGACGAAGCCGAACCCCTCTTTTTTAGCAGGGGGTGAATCAGAGATTGCTTTAAGACTAAACCCAAAACCCAAAACCCTAAACCCTGAACCCTGAACCCTGGACCCTGAACCCTAAACCCTAAACCCTAAACCCTAAACCCTATACCCTAAACCCTAAACCCTAAACCCTAGAAGACCTCAAGGGCAAGGGGAGGAAGCCTGAAGCACTGGATGTCCACCGCAAGCTGAGATGTTTCATCGTCCACCTGTAGCTCCTTCTGCAGAAAGTCTCCAGGGTTCCAAGCTTGGGCCCTTAATTGGGGTTTTAGGGTTTAGGGTTTAGGGTTTAGGGTGTAGGGTTTAGGGTTTAGAGTTTAGAGTGTAGGGTTTAGGGTGTGGGCCCTTACTTCCGGCCCGGCACTATATGACCCTTACATACGCTATCGATACTAAGGGCCCATACTTCGGATCCCTGTACTACCACTTGCTTAAGAGCCCACCCCCCCCCCCCCCAAAAAAAAAAAAAAAATAATAATAATGATAATAATAATAATAATATTCTTCCTTACAAGGGCAATATAGGGATTATTGATATTTTCTATTTCCCATAAACCCTAAACCCTAAACCCTAAACCCTAAACCCTAAACCCTAAACCCTAAACCCTAAACCCTAAACCCTGGGGGTTCCAAGCAAACAGTAGTATAATATCAAGAAGGGCAAGGGACCATGCTAAGGGTCCATGGCTCCGACCTTAGGAAGCCTGAAACCCTCAACCCTACATCGGGTTTGGGTAGTTAGGGTTTAGGGTGTTTAGGGTTTTAGGGTATTTAGGGTTTAGGGTTTAGAGTTTAGGGTGTTTAGGGTGTTTGGGGTGTTTGGGGTGTTTAGGGTTTAGGGCTTAGGGTTTAGGGTTTAAAGTTTTGAGGGTAAGGCGCCGCGATGTGTCCACGCTGGGTAGCTTTGCATTTGGTCTGTGGTGGAAAATAGTGGTTCGTGACTCTACTCGCTTTTATTCGGCAGAAGCCTCATAGGTTTGCACGAGGGTATAGGGATTAGGGCTCAAAGACCAAACCTAAGCAGGTATACAAGACCCTAAACCCCAAACCCCAAACCCTAAACCCTGAACCCTAAACCCCAAAGCCCAAACCCTAAACCCCAAACCCCAAACCCCAAACCCCAAACCCTAAACCCTAAACCCTAGACCCTAAACCGTAAACCCTAAACCCTAAACCCAAAACCCAAAACCCAAAACCCCAAACCCTAAACCCTAAACCCCCCCCTTCCCGCCCAGGCCCCCTGGCTCCTCGGGCTCGCGGCCAAGCAAGATCAGAAGGCCTCCGGGCCTCGGCCAGACCGGAAGGAGGCCCAGGAGGCTATCGTCTAGGGTCTAGGGTTTAGGGTTTACGGTTTAGGGTCTAGGGTGGAGGGTTGAGGGTTGAGGATTGAGGGTTTAGGGTTGAGGGTTGAGGGTTGAGGGTTGAGGGTTGAGGGTTTAGGGTGTAGGGGTACCTAGGGAACCTGAGGGAGCCCTGGGGGCTACTGGGGGAGTATCAGGTTCCCTCCCTTAAGAACCCTAAAAAATGGAAGGCCATACACAAATCCAGAAACTAACTCCCGAAGTCCTAAGCTCCAACCCGCAAAACCTTAGCAAATACACCAAGCCACCACGATTCCCATGTGACCCTACTTGAAGGTTCATGGGACTTAATAACCACTTATAACTGTACTTATAACCCTACTTAAAACACCCCTAAAGGGCCTTATAGGGGTTATCCCAATAAGTAGGGTTATAAGTACAGTTATAATTGGTTAGTAAGTCCCATGAACCTCCAAGTACCCGTAACCCTAAACAAAAAACAAACCCGTCCAGAAAGAGCCCTTGCGGTTCAAGAGGGCTTCTGAGTGCCATTCTAAAAAACTATACGAAGTCGATTTATAGGAACCTATGCAAAATGGCCCAAGACGATGAAAAACGGACTATTATTTACTATGTTGCACGCGTTGGGGGTTTAGGGAGGGTTTAGGGTTTCGGGTTACGGGCTTAGGGTTAAACGTATCCTAAACCCCAAACCTCGAAAGGGTACCACTGGGCGACCAAGTTACCCAGAGACCCCAATACTCCTCAATAGAGGAATATTCCTTAAGCCATATAAGGAGCCCTACCATATTTTAAGGGTTCTAAACCCTAAACCCCAAACCAAAAACCCTGAACCCTAAACCCTAAACTCTAAACCTAAACCCTAAACCCTAAACCCCAAACCCTAAACCCTAAACCCTAACCCTTATTTTAGGGGTATTGGAGTTTTTGGGCATCATCAATCCACACGTCCGCAAGATCGCATGGCCTGGTCACGCGCGCGAGCCGCTTGAGGAGTCCCACCTAGGCTCTATAGGGGTTGGAGTTTAGGGTTTAGGGTTTGGGGTTTGGGGTTTGTTGTTTGGGGTTTGGGGTTTGGGGTTTGGGGTTTGGGGTTTAGGGTTTAGGGTTGTGGGTTGTTTAGGATTTAGGGTTTAGGGTTGTTTGGGGTTGTTTGGGGTTGTTTGGGGTTGTTTAGGGTTGCTTAGGGTTGTTTAGGGTTTTGAGGGTCGTTTAGGGTTCTTTAGGGTGTAGGGTTTACGGTTCTGGGCTCGTGGCTCAGAGTTTGGAGCAGATTCGGGGTCCGAGGCTTGACGTTTGGGCCCATGATCCTAAAGCCGTGCTTCGTTCCAGACTTTCCACGCCCCAACCTTTGTGCCAGCTAGCCGCCCAGGCTAAAAAGATCCTCAAATGCAAAACGACCCAAACCCTAAACCCGAAACCCCAAACCCCAAACCCTAAACCCTAAAACCTGAACCCTGAACCCTGAACCCTGAACCGCCCCCCCCTCTGAAAAACACCCCGAAACTCCCTCAAGCCCTAAACCCCAAACGAACTGTCAAAAGCCCTTTGGCTTCACTTCGCGCTAAGCCCGGCCCTGAACCCTAAACCTTACACCCTAAACCCTAAACCCTAACCCTAAACCCTAAACCCCAAACCCTAAACCCCAAACCCTAAACCCTAAACCCAGCCCTCCCCACCTGGAAGTATGGGGCGAAGTACTCCACGGCTCCAAGCCTCAAGGAAAGTTCGGGCTGGTGTGGGCTTGTCGACTCTGAAAGGTTCAGGGTTTAGGATTTAGGGTTTAGGGTTTAGGATTTAGGGTTTAGGGTTTAGGGTTTAGGGTTTAGGGATTCGGGTTTAGGGTTAAGGGTTTAGGAGAGGGATGGGCGTGTCTTGTCGCCTAAGCTACAATGCGCAGGATTCTTCGCTACATGCCTTGCGCTGCGCCCATTTAAGAAACCCTTATCTAAGCCCTGAACCCTAAACTAAACCCTACTTTCCTTGGAGGCCAGTAGCATGTTACAATAAGGGTAACCTTGTGGGGGTCAGTTCCTTTTCACAGGGCAAGCCAGAACCCAACAGGGTACGGCCTACAAAGTATCTGTATGGCCCCTTAGAGTAATCACAACCTTAAACGCTAAACCCTAAACCCTAAATATCTTTGAAGGTGCAGGGGTAGGAAGGCCCTGAGTTCCCCCTTAAGGACTCAAAAGATTGGGGTTTAGGCGGTTTAGGGCTTTGGAATTTCAGTCTAAACCCTAAACTTTAAACCTTTATAAACGAGTAAAGTAAGCTTCTAGCTGTATAGCAGCAACCTGCAACAATGGACACTAGGCCAAGCCTGCTTTCAAGCTCCTTCTAGGGTTCACGATCTCAGGTTTAGGCTCTTAGGCGTTCAACTCAAGGAGCCGTGTTCTTAATGCATCAACCGCCAAAATCCCGACACCCCCTGGTTCCTAGTAGGG